GGCGGGATAGGATTGCATGGCCTGCTGTTGCATGGGTTGGGGTTGGTATTGGTATTGGTAGAGTGTACCAAGGGGAAGAGGCTCTGCCGGCGGCGGAGGCTGGGACGACGACTGGGCCCCAGGATGAATTGGTTGCGGAGGGACCACGACGATTGCACGGCCGAGGAACATACCCATGTTCTTTCTTGCGATGGTACGTGAGGCTGGAAGGCATGTTAGTTCTGTAGTCACAGCCATCATGAGGACAGGTGTAGCGTTGTAACTTGTTCGCCCGTACTAAATGAAATGAAATAAAATTGTTGATCAGGTGGAATCGATGATGGTGATGAATGACCGCGTACTGCCCATCAGTATGATAATGGAAGCTTGATTTGTGCAACGTCACAAAGTCACACCCGCCCCAGGTGCAGAAGTACGCACTGAGTGAGCGAATATAAGTGACGTGAGCTACATACCATAGGGAAGACACACGTACTCTTCTGGTGAATGCATAGCCTCGTGTATCTTGCAGTCGGCGAACTTGGCAAAAGTTTGGTTGCAGCTAGAGCAAGCATAGATCTAAATATTATAAGAGTTAGTCTTCAAGTCAATGCACGAAGTATGCGCCTGATTAGGCTTACCTTTGGCATGATTGGTTACATAAGAATGTGGGTGAGGATACTACGTATGAGGTGAATGTACGATTCAACTTGAGCGGATGATGGTGCTGGGTCAGTATCAGGGTAGGTATATATACGATTCCCTGCTGTGGTCGCGGCATTGTGCTTTGCGATGGACAAACACATGCAGAGTTGTGGTTTTCAGTGGACAGACGCTTTGTGGAGGTTAGTAGTGGATGTGGGTTATGTAACGCGTGAATGCATTGTTGTTGAAGCAACCGCATCCGTTTGAATGCTTCATCATCTGTCATCGAGAGAACACCATGATAGAGTTATTTTCCAGAGATATGCACATCGATCGAAATTCAGCGTGGGGAATCGAGTAAAGACCGACATGGATGTCGAATTCCATGACACCGAAATCCAAAAACTTTTTGGAGGTCTTTGTCGTCATGACCGGCCTGGGCCGTGCAACAGGCAGTCATTCGACCAACCCATTAAGCCACTAGGTGCTTCGCATTGTCCAAGCGTAGTGCTTTGAGATTTTCATCTTTGTGGGCAGGACCGGGTAAGAGTTGTCAATTTCAGCAGCGAGATAGTCAAATGAATGAGATCGGACGCGCGATGAATCGTAAAGTCCGTGCAGGTCAGTGCATTTGCATACGCTTGTGTCTATTGCTACTAGCTAATGCTAGACAGTACGTTGGCGTGATGAGGGGACTTGTCGAGACTGTGGTTGACACCCTTGTATGACTGTAAGTACGAGCGAGCATCAGGAACGTAACGTACTAGCAAGTTCCGACATCCAAGTATGCCCTAACGAAGTATGCTCAAGTTGTGTATTCTTGCAGAGACCCTGCTGTTACTTGAGGGACCTTGCATGACAAATCAGTACAAACACCTTGGAATTAGTACACATCGCAACGATTACAGTGGTATCAGTATCACACTACTCACTGATAGTGATAGTAGAATTTCATGGATGCGGCAGTGGTTGTGCACTAACGTATTGTTGATGCGGCGAATTCCGACTGAATGAATGAATTTTCTATTCTACGCTCACATAAGCTCAGCGCTCAGGCCTCAGGTCCAGGTACCTAGCCTCTAGGTACCTCGACTAATAGGTGATCACGTGCGACGGTGGCAGCAGTGTATTTCATCTTATAGAGAACTCGGTTTATCACAGCTAGGGAATTGTGCTTATGCCCATACAAAGTCTACGTAGGTAACTTAACATGATAATTATGGTGAGAAAACAACAATCTACATATATATCCAGTTGCATCTCGAAACTCTAAAGTACTTGTTGATTATAACGGAGGATACTGCCTCGTCAACAGATACCAAATAGTAAACAGGGACTGCGAATGGGAGCTAAACAAGAACACCTTTTTTGGCGAGTCTTTGCCCAGTATCCACACCAGAACTGCGGCGAATAGACAGCTTCCCATAATGTATGTGTTTTCAATGAAGGCCAACATAACCAGCATATGACAGACCGTCAATATGACCTTGATTTTGAGTATTGAACCGAGAAGGACAGGTATAGTGGGGACCCCGGCCTTCATATCTTCTTCAAAATCACGGACATCGGCCATGATCTATAGATATAGTCAGGGTTAAATCGTGCGATCATGTGCGGTCTACTTACTGTGTGGCATTAGCGGTTGACGGTCGACCACACTATCAGTTGAACGACGCTCCATGGAGACGGCAACGTGCTAGTGAGATTGCCTGATCCCGACAACACGGAGAAAACCACAGCGTAGATGCCACGCCTGAAGAGTATTTGTTTGCATGCCGTGTATCGTTCAAGGTGAACACGCAGACATACCCTCGAATGGTGCCATTGAAAATTGCTTTCATGCCTGGGACGCGTTTGATGACCAGTTCAGGTGCAGATCTAGAAGGCTGGTAGTTATCTCTGCCAAACCTCCCATGGAGGCGCCTCGAGATTAGCCAAAACTTCTTGAAGCTGATCGGAGTGGTCCAGAGCAAGGCAGGAACGACAAACATTGCCGTGGCGAGGAGCGTCGACATTGGACACCGAGATAGTACCAATGCAAGGAGCACAACATGGGCGGCGAGGAAAGTTCGTGCATACATAAAGAAACAGGTGATGCATGGGTTGTTGGTGGTAGTGGGGTCCAACGAAAACTCCTCTTCTTTATCCTTAAGATGGTCAGCGCCAATGGCAAGGATATCGGACGTGACGCAGATGGTTATCTGCAAAGATAATTGCGTGAACGACATTATCTAGTATTAAATTAATGACCATACCGGCCTCCAGTGGATACGTCCGTATGCCCAAGTGAACTGAGATCTGAACGAATACTTCATTACCTGTCATTTCCCGCAGAGCCATACTAGGATTCCATTATGGCCTCGAAACTGGAGTTGGAATTAGTAGAAGACGGACACGCTCGTGGACCAGAGGAGCATGGCAGAGAGAGGTCAGATCATAGGAGAATGTGGGGTAGAAGAAGAGCTTCCAGCATGCGGCGATTGCAATAAGTACTAACCAAAATTTGACCGCATACTACTGGTAGCCGGGACCGTGGCTCACTGGGAGTTGTTTTAAGCTAACACGGAGGATGTGTCCGTTTCTACCCCGAATGTCAGATACAAGATAGCAGATAGCCAATTAGGCTGAGGACGCACTCACTGTCCCTCGTCAAATTCCTTCCAAACGATGAAATAAAACTCGAGAGTAGGTCTTCATGATTTCTCGGAGCATTATGCACACCTTTCTTTACCGTAGGCAGGTCTGTACCGTGAGCAGGATCACCCGTTCTTCCTAGTTACATGAAGTGAGGTTCCGACCGACTTGATCTCAGCGCACAATATTCGGCCGGGATAGGTCTACTGAATCGTCTACCAAACATGGGAACACTTCCGGCATCGAATCACGTGGACGTTTGCTTCGCCTTTTATTATATCTCAGACCGTTGGTTATGCTGACGACTTGTGATCTTATGGTCTTTGGCATAGGCACTCTATGGGTTCTGTGGTCCCCTTCCGCTTGTCTTGGTTTATATCCAGAACATTCTGCAAATAATTCGCTCCATCCTTATGAGGGTCAAGTACATTCGAACACCGACGCGATATGGATACGTCAACACTTATAAATACGGATGCCGTTCTCATACAATAGCGCAGGATGTTTGTCTCTAACAGTGTTGGTACAATAGTTGAATGATCTAGTAGTGTTTTTAGGTATGGGATTCTTCACAGTATGTACATAATTAACAATAGTACCGTAGTGGCATCGAACATAAGAGAAGACACCGGCAATGCATACCAGCACTAAGAACATGAAGAGGCGTCTATAGGCTGCTTGAGCCCGTTAAGCAGCGGGTGCAGGAGGAGTATGTCGACCAGTCACTAGAGCATATCTTTCTGCAATCCTGTAATCCACAAGTGTTATTTTCATCGTCAAAAATTGAATAAAAAGGAGCTTACCGAAGTACCTCTTGAGAATGTTCAAGACTTATGGGCTGTTGAATATTGAGTGTTTCTAAATCATCCATGTCCAAGGTGCTTAACCACGCTTCATCATAGAAGTTACGTGGGAGACCTGGGACCGGTTTACCTATGCGGTGGACATTGCGTTGGGTGGTTGGAACCCTAATGCGAGGCCAGTTACCACGTTTTGGTCGGTTCACCTCATTGAACTTTGTCGTCATGAAGATGCGGTCAAACACTCGAAGCCATGGTGCTACAGCCGGATTGCGCCACTTGTCCAAAAAAATGATGTAACGTTTAATTCCGTCTCGAGTGTCAGACTCATCGCCACTCATACCGTCAGGGCCCATATCACGAATAATATTACGGTGACCAACGAGATCTTCATGACAATAGGCTGCCGTAACGCGGTGGTCAAATAGCTAGTAAAGCAATTGGTCAACATGAAATGTGATATTAACGAGTCAGATTTTCTTGCGTACAGTTTTGCGGCGAGCTCGTCGAGCAGCTGTTTGGCGGTTGTCAATTGTCTGTTGAGGGGGCGGCAATGAATGTGCACTTCGAACCTGTTCACGGTAGTGTGAACAAAGGGTTTTGAGGTGAGCTCGAAATGAGGTCTCCACGATCTGCTTATCGCAGCTAGTGTATTGGCCAGATTCGATAAAACTCCTAGCAAACACCTTTGCTGCTTTTTTATTCCAAGGTGTAAGGTGTGTTTTACCAAATTCCAGTCGGAAGTTGTCCACAGTTGGCCCACCTCGTTTTGCCAGTACAAATTCGGCTAGCTCAGATGGGTCTGGAGGGGGAGGTAGAGGATCGTTCTTTGTCTCACGCCCTAGCATATACATTGCATGCTCACGGACTTCACGCTGTGCAGTGAGAACAATCAATGACACAGTTTTGAGTTCTTAAAATAAGATATTACCTTTAAGACAATGTCTCTGGCTGGGCGATACCGGCTAGCCCTATGATTTGGAGGCCTGTGGATGGGATCAACTTGAATAAGCTGTGGTGTGGCAACCGATTGATTGCTGGATGCCGATGAGGATCCAGAAGCATTGTGGAGGCGCGCTGAGCGTCGAAGAGTTGCCACTTCGGCACGAGTTTCCATTACTGCGTTTAGTACACGCTCAATGTCACCTTTGGTGGCCCATGGATGTTCATCTTCATCGACAATACTATCTGCCTCCTAGTAGAGGCAATGGGTGAGAAACACCAACCCAATTGTACGCAATCAAACAAAATCACATACCATTTCTTCGTTCACGAGATCCTCCTGATCGACCATTTCTTCGTTCATGAGATCGTCTTGATTTACAATTTCTTCGTTGATGAGATCGTCTTGATTTACCATTTCTTCGTTAATGAATTCATCTTGATTTACCATTTCTTCGTTGATGAGATCCTCCTCATTAATCGTTTCTTCCTCCATAAGATCTTCATTGGGTTCTGCCAGGACCAGATCTTCCTGCCAAAAATGCTCCTCTCCATCATCGTGACCGTCATCATCGTGATCGTCATCATCGTGACCATCATCACCATGGCCTTTCTGAGCTTCAACAACAGACGAAACCAAATTAGCCAACTCCTCATTTGCTACGGAGAGTTCTCTCGTATTAAAATAGTGGATTGGCGGAGTAACAGCTCGATTATTCTGAACAAGAGACCCTCATGTGTCAATTGTCGCAACAATCAATAAGACAAAAATATCGCACCTGGCCATCGTTGGCAACATCATGATTAAGAGTGGCACAAGGCTCACTTGGGTCTGGGGTGGTCTATTTGACCGATGAGAAAACAAGTACATCGCATTAACGTACCCACCAAACTCATGATCCAATCTATTAGATCGTCATCAGCTGGTGATTCAACAGTTTTTACGATCTGAAAGCCATCAGATCGAGAATATCTTATCATTACAAAAATACATACCATAGTGTCATCAACTTCCTCCCGGAGGGCAACTTCATGTTCATTTACATCACCTTCGTGGGCCTCAGGTTCTGTACTAGTCTGTAATACTCAGATGTGATATCAAACTCTGCAATGCAAAAGATACATACCGGTGTTTCAATTGGTTGGTGATGTACCATTGAAATTTCAGGAGAAGAGGGACTGCTACTAGGTCCATCCAATGATGGCGATCCAGCTCGACGAGGAGAGAGTGAACGCTGGCGATGCCTCGTACGTCTCAATGGGACAATCACCTGATCCGAAGTTTGATACGGATGATGTAGCTCACGATATTGTGGGCGATGATCTCGATAAACAGTCATGTCAAAGGCAAGTACGATGAAAGTGGTCTGGAGTATAGTGAATCGTTGACTTTTATACAACTGGAACAAAGCACTTACTTTGTGATACAAAGGCCTCGGGTGCCATCAAAACAATTGTTTGTCTGAATTGTATCGGACCAAAGTCAAAAGAAAGTCATGCATGAAGCGAATCAGCAACGTTCGTTCACAAAGGGAAAGATCATTATGAGAAACAAATCATGTACAACCAGCCAATCAATCTAATAGTATCTATACCAGCGGATCCTATGTACATGTGACTGTCGAGCTATCAGATATGTTGGTTCAGTCAAGATTGAAATGTGGGCCATACTGACTTGGACGAAGTTCTTCATTTAGTCTTGTTCGACTGAGTGGCACGCATCCTAATGGCCAACTCCGCAAGATCTAGGCTTGGGACGACGGTCATATCCCTGTGAGAATGATCATCTGCAATCTGCAAAAAAAGTCTCGGAGGCTCATATGCAGATAGTAAGGGCACATCACATACCTGGTGCTGCGGTTGCTGTTGGACACAGCATTGTGTGACTGGAGCAGGGAATCGTTGTCGGAAACTTGTATTGAATTCTCGCAATGGCTCTAAACCAACATCTACCAGGGTTATATTGGTTACTTGCCCCAAGTAAACTGTCACCTCAGAATAGAATTCTGCAGCAAGGTCTTTCATGTTTAGTCTTGAACGCCACTAGTACTAGCAACTCACTTAGCTCTTCTGAAGACTTCCCCTCTGGGCACGTCACATCATGTGACTCCAACCTATAGCTTATTCTTCACAAAGCAGCCATCAAGAGTACTGACACAAAGCAATATTGTTCCATATAAACGAGGCAAAGATGTAATGGTATGGACTGTCAACACATTGCTCCCACTATGCCTGTGACAGATTTTCTTCTCGCTGCTATGGATGTTATTTTGAGTCGTCAGGAACGCACCGTCATTACGCCTACCCCTGCTATTGTTGAAGAAGAAGATATGGTGATCGTCACAAATCACAACTCAAACACCAGTGAACACGTGGCTACTGATAGAGAGATCAGCTTGATCGGACCTCTGGTACTATTTTTGTTGATTATTCAGTTTACCATTTACAAATTTATGGATAGATGGACGCTTGTGCCATGTATCGGAACCAGATCTCAGCAGCAAAAGATCAATGCAAACAACTGCAAGCCGTAATATCGAAGATTGTTGCCATTGCAATTGTTGAGGATATGAACCAGTGCGAGGGCTGCACTGGCGTCCTTCAGTATCCATATATGTGAGCATGTTTTTTGGAGTTAGTACAAATGTTTGGGTCCATCTGACATAACAACACGTTCCAGTTTGAAAGACTACGGTCATTCACTCTGTCCCCGTTGTTTTCAACTCACCCTGCACATGACTATCAACAACAATCGTTCACTGTATCCTGACCTGTGAGTCGCGTTAAATAGTATACATGTTGGAACTTTGTGGCGTGTAAATACATGTTTATTCATCGCCAGAAATACAGACCTGGTACAAGTATATGAGGCGTCTTGATTTTTGAAGACAAGTTCATGTCACGTCCAAAGTCGTACTGTACTGGTCTGCGCATGAATGAGTCCGGATGTCCAGAAAATGAATACACTCACCCGCTGAGCTAGAATCCACATGAGTCCGGAATCCGGATGTCGATCCACGAGCGTGGATGCCAATCCGCATGAGTTCGGATGTCGATCCACGAGCGTGGATACAAATCCTGGTACAAGTATATGAGGCGTCTTGATTTTTGAAGACAAGTTCATGTCACGTCCAAAGTCGTACTGTACTGGTCTGCGCATGAATGAGTCCGGATGTCCAGAAAATGAATACACTCACCCGCTGAGCTAGAATCCACATGAGTCCGGAATCCGGATGTCGATCCACGAGCGTGGATGCCAATCCGCATGAGTTCGGATGTCGATCCACGAGTCTGGGTACAAATCCTGGTACAAGTATATGAGGCGTCTTGATTTTTGAAGACAAGTTCATGTCACGTCCAAAGTCGTACTGTACTGGTCTGCGCATGAATGAGTCCGGATGTCCAGAAAATGAATACACACACCCGCTGAGCTAGAATCCACATGAGTCCGGAATCCGGATGTCGATCCACGAGCGTGGATGCCAATCCGCATGAGTTCGGATGTCGATCCACGAGTCTGGATACAAATCCTGGTACAAGTATGGCGTCTTGATTTTTGAAGACAAGTTCATGTCACAGTCCAAAGTCGTACTGTACTGGTCTGCGCATGAATGAGTCCGGATATTTAGAAAATGAATACACTCACCCGCTGAGCTAGAATCCACATGAGTCCGGAATCCGGATGTCGATCCACGAGTCTGGATACAAATCCACATGAGCCCGGATGTCGATCCACATGAGTCTGGAAAATGAATACACTCACATTGCCCTTGAAGCTATCGACCTTCGGTCAGTGGTATAACCCGCTAAGCCATTGTAGTCATATGAGGAGCGAATCGGTGAGCCGTGACTGTCCAAGGACGGGCGTATATTTCTAGGTAAACATCGTCGAATCAGCACAAGCGCGATACGATCGATCACGTAACGATGACTAGACTTGAAGCTTGAGACGTCATACACCATTTCACCAAAACGGGGATCGATGACATGGTTCACGTTTTCAAAAACACTGGTTGGTGAGATGTTCGATGGAGCGAATCTCCGGTGGGAAACGCAAGACAAGGAACAGGTGCAGGGTGAGGTGCGGATTGGAAATCACTACTAAAATGTCTGAGTCGGACTCGTCATCGTTGACAGAATCTGAATAGTTATAAAGCGGAGTTTGATAGCCTATATCCGTGGGAATCTGCAGTCGGGGACTCGATGCGTCCACCCGCTATACTAATAATACATCCGAGAATTCTACTGACTCGGTATACAAAGAAACATCGATTGAGTGTTCCATCATCCCTTCTTCAAGTCGTCCAGCATAACGCTAACTATGCATATACAGAATAAAATTCTTGCAGAATTTTGCTCTGAAATTCCTGTTGCGAATGGACAAACAACAGTATTGCAATTGATGGATGTTTCATCTGGGCCACAATCCGCTTTCGAGACAACTTTCCGACAGCGATTTTCGCTTCCAATAGACCCTGGCCATGACCAGTATGTACCATATATCCTCTGCATAATCCCATCATATAGAATTCCTTATTGGCGCTGTAGGATCCATACTCGTGATAGCGGTGATATCACCCCAAGCCACATCACCAACAGCGTGGTACCCACCTCCAATGACAATCAATATCCCCAACCCAGTACTATCACGACTCGTAGTGATAACTTGTCCAATGGCGAGGATCACATCCTCAATGTATCTTCTACCGATCTAGCAGAAGATATTAGTCTTGTAAGTTATCTTTCGGCCTTCTAGTGAAGCCCTCATGATGTCCGACAGGTCGATGACATCATTTCGAATAATGCTCCCCTCTCAACAGAACATGCCGCAGAGCGTTCTGTGTATCTGAAGCGCTTTGTGCGCAAAACATCGACGTTAACCTACGGATGGTTCGAGACCACTGGTGCACAGCCCGTTGATACCCCACCTAACTTTTTATCCTTTGATACTCTCCAACTCGGCGACCTATTTCTCCATCGCACCGACCAGAAAGTGTCGTGCTGGATCCGCGAGTATTCCCCTAGTGGTGGTGTATGGAGAGTGATCTTACCGGGAGATAATGGGTCGCACAATGAAGATTTCTCTTGCAGAATTTTAGTGTTACATTCTGATGGGAATCCCACATGGGTTCTTCCCAAAACTGTACAGAGATACAAGCGATTGACACGAACTAAATTAGTGGAAAACGCTGTTTAGATGTTTTGGTAAAGTACACATTGTGACTACTTCACTCGCATTATTTTCAATTGCTAATGTCAAGGTCCTCGTTCTACTTGGTGAGGAAGTACTTAGTATATAAGCACTCGAGTCGAAGGAGAGTAAGAGTGGTGGGGATGTCCGGAATATTTGAGAGCGTGGTAGATCATATCGACAACGATCTGCTCATCACAGCGACACGGTCCCAGTCACAACGTCCTCTGACTTTAAGTCTCCGCCACTTCTAATCACCTCGCCCACAAGTCAAATATGAGGACAACAGACAAGTGACATAGTACGGGTTCATCGGTGCACTGAACAGAGACCTCCGTCGCTTCAAAACACCTCGCCCGCATAACAATCAAGACAACAGACGCACGACCTTGGGTTCATGGGTAAACCAGAGCGGAGACCTCCGCCGCTTCCGATCACCTCGCCCACGTCAAACATGGGGACAACAGACTAGTGACGTAGTACGGGTTCATCGGTGCACTGAACAGAGACCTCCGTCGCTTCAAAACACCTCGCCCGCATAACAATCATCAAGACAGCAGACGCACGACCTTGGGTTCATGGGTAAACCAGAGCGGAGACCTCCGCCGCTTCCAATCACCTCGCCCACAAGTCAAACATGGGGACAACAGACTAGTGGCATAGTACGGGTTCATCGATGTACTGAGCAGAGACCTCCGCCGCTTCAAAACACCTCGCCCGCATAACAATCATCAAGACAGCAGACGCACGACCTTGGGTTCACGGGTAAACCAGAGCGGAGACCTCCGCCGCTTCCGATCACCTCGCCCACAAGTCAAACATTGGGACAACTGACCACTGGCATAGTACGGATTCATCGGTGTCCAGACACCTCATCCACATGCCACAAATCAAAGACGCCTAAAATACAACGATAACTGGATCAGTGAGCATCAACAAAAGAGAGATGTGAGAAGGAACGCCTAAGATACAACAATAACTAGATCAGTGAGCATCAACGAAAGAGAGATAATCAGAGATTTGAGAAGGAACGCCAACGAAAAAAGTATGTCCAGGGCGGGCCCCGCCGGCTCATGTCAGCAGGTCACGTGTGTATGGACACAGAAAGTGGAACTAAATCAAGATTTTCGGCCTTGATCGTATCGTTCCGAACCTGCAAGTGGAAAATCTACAGGGATCGTGTAGATATATTTAACCATCAAAATCCTGACCTGCTGCAGCTTCACCGGCGGACGCGGTGAATGTTGTCCGTAATCGTCAAATCGAATGATGTGCCTGTGATCGGGGTTTCTGCCATTTCAAGACTCGATAGTAGATATCTAGTAATGGTACTTACTTATAGCTTAAAGGCCAACTGGCGCTCATGCACCCAACAGAGGGAATCCATTCGTTTCTCCAGGAGTCTGAAGGAACGGCTGAAGTATTAATATTGGCACAATTGCTTGTAAACGTTGACGTTGAGTTGCGGAAAAGTGGATTCAACTCGGAATATCACGTGATCAAGTATGTCATGAACTTTTTCAATTTTCGATGCTTGAATATTTGTTCTGCTTCGACACACTATCATGCATGCGCGCGCAGTAACATTTACTTAGAAAACTAATATATTAAACTTGAATGTGGGTCGGATATCACCTTCGCATCCGTTTGGTGATCCTCATCCTCTATTACAGTTATCCGCGGGAAAAAATCTTAAAGCTCCCTCCTGGTGCATTCCCACCATCATCCAGTGCGTATCCATCAATTATCCGACGAATCTGCAGCGTGGGCTGATACTGTGGATAAGGGCCTTCTTCGAATGCTCATGTAAAAGTCATGCTCAATCATTTTTCGGCGAGTAACCTTTTTCTTGCTCGTGTGCACATGCTCACGTCTCGTAGACATCTCCCTATCCCGTTCGTGGTCTTCACCCTTCCCTCACTGCTATTTACTTACCACGTACGTGACAAGCGAGACGATTTTCTCACCTAAACGACGCCGTGCAGCATTTTCAGTTAGTCCTGGACCAATGTTCTGTCGGCCATCCTGACTATGCAACAGCTCTCACCCCTTGCATGGGCATGTGCCTTGCGTGTACCTATCACCACTTGCTTGTCTATCTCCATATATTTGTGCAATACAGGTGCGCAGGCGACGTGCGCTTCTTTTATCTCTTTGTTTGTACATTACTTACAATTGTTTTTGTACTTCGACCGGCTAATGTTGATGATCATTTGCACTCACTTATGCTCGTTCGCTCATTGACGATATGTATGCCATTTGTGCAGGCGTGCATTATCTATTCTACTACCATTTCATAATACCTATGGAGCTAGAGGGGGTCAAAAGTGCGGTCGGTAAATGCCAGAAACTGTCAAACAATTTGAAATTGTGCACGGCGATCAAGAACCAGCGCAATGACTGAAGGCAAGCCTCGTGGCTTAAAGAATATCCGATGAACAATGCTACGGAGCTGTGTACTTAGTTATCTCCGTTTATTGGACTGCATGTGTGATTCCGCTTTTAAGTCATTATATAGATTGCTGGAGGAAGCACGACACGCTTATCCCATTAGTCTTGTGAAAATAAATTTAACTCAAAAACGATAATCAACTGGCACAATGTTATGTAATCGCATGTCTCTGTTCACACTCTGAGTCAGGCTGATTTGATTATTCTGTCGTCGCTGCATGTTATAACGTCCATGTGAGAATTAGAAAGAATGGGTGATGTCGTGAGTCTGAGCCACTAAGAACGGTAGAAACGAATCAACCCCGACGAGATGCCATCATGACCAGCCCTCCAATCCACGTAATCTTCGAGAAACACCTCGCCGCGCAAACGACAGAAGTGCAACAGAGAAAATATGACAGATTCAAGACGGGTACATTTACATTTATTTGGGACAAACTTGAAGCTTGAAGGCTGAAGGAAGTTAGCGAGCCGCCTCTAGTATGACGACGTCTGTGCGGGGGTAAGGTAGAAAGAAATGTGGAATAAAGGTCTTTGAGAAACAAACAAACACTCAGTCCGGCACCAGCTGCATTCCGTACACTTGTCTGACAACGTGCTCATCCGATGGCACTGCCCTGATTCACGTGTAAGTGGGGATTTTGAATCAATTACAGCCAAAGTCAGAACTCACGTCGATACATTATACACCAAGTTTGCAATCTAACTTGTACGGCAAGGGCCTGCTACCCTTGGTGCCACTCCGACTCGGTTCCTGTTGATTTTGCGCCTTCCCAATTATTGTACAACGTCATAAGGCGCGCACACACATGCACACGGTCACAGAAAGAAAGAATCATTGCAAGGGTAGGCCAATCCTCATCCTTCGTGGGAACTGAGTGTCTCTCAGAAGAAAGAAAGTGAATACATACATGGCAGCTGTGTTCCGGATCATCAGCACGAGGTTCAATGCCTCGCTAATGTAAGGAGTCAGAGACAAAGTTATGTTTGAACTCGAAAATGGTTGGGACCTCGACGATTTGGGCGAAATAAGGGTCAGAATAGGCTGATTGAGAGCGCGAGAAGCATGCCGAGGAATCTGTTCACACAATCAAGAAATTTAGAGCACTTGAATGAAAAACTCACATAGGTATGTGCCCGCACAAGTTCTTCCATTCCTGCAAGGTCATGCAGACAACCAGAGCCACGACAAAAATCGACATACTTGCGCAGGTGAGTGACACTCCATGGGCTCGCAAGATCAAGAGACGGGAATGGTATAGCCAGGAGAAGGCCAACGGAAGTTGAACGGAAGCGAAGATATAACGATGTTCAAGGTCTCAGCTGGGCCTGTCTGGTGACAATAGAGACAACCGGTGGGAGCACACAAAGGGTAGAAAGCAAGAATGTAGGCGGATTCAGCAAAGTGTCAAGATCACCTACCCCCCGGGCAAGATGCAAGAGAAAGTGAGAGCAAATTTAAGAGGATTACAACGTACGGGCTTCGCTATTGCTTGTGCAAACCTTCAGAAAAAATCGCCTCGCCTGAACTCTCTTCGCTCTCACTCATCTCTTTCTCCCGGAGTGCATGTGACATGTCCATGGGACTTGGTGCAGTGCTTGAAACTTGGTGACATTGCCCTCGCGCTTTGAAGTAGCGGAGAACAGGCAAAAGACTTGTCAATCGCAATCGGCGTCCGAAATTTTTTAGGCGGCTCAGCATTGAATATTGAATATTGAAGCTCCAGTTACATATGTCTATATATCGCAAATTGAGTCGTGATCACGTTTACATGTAAGGATAATGCCACAAAGCCCTACGTCAGCCATCTCTGAGTCCTCTCTATTTTGTCCTGTACACTTTGAATCTGAGCCCTTAGATCCTGCAACTGAGTCCTAGTTTCGACCTTGTTTGTCTCCGCAGCCTCCTTCGCGGCCATGCCTAGCATGACGCCTTGCTCAGCGTACTTTGTGTTCGCATTCGAAAGTGTGAACAACATGTTGAAATTGTCAGTCATATTGACCCGCATAGATTCAATGGCTTCCATTATATCAGCGACTTGGTAAATACCGACGTAGTCAGTTGGTAGCACTCGAAATTTGAATCGGGACTTACTGGTCATTTGAGGCCTAATGGCTTGTGCCCGGTTATTGAAGGGAACGGCAGGTTCATCATCGTCCGACATATGAGTGGCGCGTCTGCTCCAGTCTGAGGTGTCGGAATTGCTGGAATTTAAGTGGGAATCGGCAATAGTGTACGTGTTTGAGTTTGGGTTGGCGGTGCCTAAATAGGCGGGACCGATGCCCAAAGATGACCGTGGAGTAGCAAAAACCATGGTTGATAGATCAGAAGATTCTTAATGTATATACTCAATGATACTGATGAGTTGCGCATCGCAGCACGTACCTGAGGGATTCATAGTGGCCATTGTGTTGTATCGATCTGAGTAGACGGTTGGTATCATGTACCTGCGAGATTATATAGCTATCCTATATCAGTTATCAATCTGGCGAACAAAAGCCATGATCAAGTTCGCTGATCCTGTAATTACATGTCTGGACTTGATTGGTCGATGTAGCAGCCTCGTGAATCATGATTAGAATGTCAGATCCGGGCCATAACGGCGTCTGGTATTCGGAAAGGATCTCGATCAAGCGGAACGCACGATAATGGTCTCATGCACAGAGGATAAATGGAGCAGGTTGTAATACACCACCAACAAATTTATTGCGCTTCTCTTCTAGTACATTCCGAAATCGGCCCACATCGCCTTGAGCGCACAGAATGAATGGCGAGAGGATGCACTAGTAGTACGGCTGTTCCTCATCTGCTTTCAGCTATGATCATTGGCTGCAAACCCCAATGCTTTCCTCATTACATCTTCCTCCTTGTATTTTGCCCTCGCCCTGCCTTCCTGTAGCCGCTGGAGTCCATTCTGAATGCTCTGAATATGAACTTGAATTGGAATCCTCTCATCAACCAGTTCTGGAGCTGCTGCCCTCTCCCGTAAATCTTCCATATCTTCACTCATCGAATACAGAACCTGGAGCACAGCCATGATGTGGACCTGTGCTTGCTTCCGATAATCATTGACATCCATGAGCAAATTTGCGTGATGCTCATATCCCCTGAGTGTCTGTCGGTTTCCACCAAGCTTAGTCCACAATGCCTCCAGGAGGAGAGACTTCTCCGCCGCAATAAATGCATCTTCTCGCATCACAGCTTCGCGTATGGCAGACAGATCTTCCTCAAGCATATTTAAGTTGCGCAAACATATCTCGGCTTCCAGAATTAGCCGTTGTATGGCTCTTGAGAAGGCTTCCATGGCGCTGGAGAATGCATCCATTATAATGTCTTGCGTGGTGGGTGTCGTGCGGAATGGAGCAAAAGCCATGATTGAAAATGGTGATGGTGCATTTTCGCCAGCATCTTCTACAGTGCGCATTGCATAATGATTTACTGCCATAATGCTGGTGAAGATAAGTATGAATGCCCCTATAAGTGAATTACAATAAGTAACTCACTTATCAACTGCGCCAGCAACTTTTGAACTAAGTTTGATGAGACTCCTTGCGGTCATCTTGGCATCTCTGACAAATGTCGCTAGGAGATCAGCTAGAGCATCATTAGACTTGAGGAGGTTGCTATGGCGGACCAGAGTTGCAAGATCAGCTGTTGCAAATTCTGCCTTTCGTATTTCGAGGGAAAGTCCAGATCCTCTGACCGAACCATCCAAAATTTGCTCAAACATCCGGCTTTGATATTGCATGAGGTGGGGGAAGTCTGCCTGCTGTGGACTGCGCGCTAATACAAACTCGATGCACAACGCCGACCTTGATACCAAAGGAAGAAAGCACATTGGGTAAAATGCTGTGTGTAGTGTGCTGGAAATATGCTTCATGGTGGATGCCAGCATCCAGAGAAAGAGTAGCACAGATAATGGTATGCGCAATAGTCGCAATGCACGAAGGATGATATCAAAAAAATAGAAGCTAGAAGCTGACAACGCTTCCTTCACCCGATGCTGGTCCATTGCAACATTCTTCTGTCCCTTGGGGCGCTGGGGTAGTCGCAGCGGAGAAGGTGTTGGAAGAGAAGGTTGTGAGGCATCTGTAAGGACGGGAGCAGACGAGGGTCTCTGTGCCAATTCATCTATACGATATCAATGCACAAGGGGTGTGAATGCTCACCTCAGCATGGCCTTCACATTCGAAGTCTATTTTCATAGCTAGTGCGACTAGTGTGTCGTTGACGGGGAATGTGTATTGCTGACAATGATAATGCGAGTCAGTCCCGTTAAATATGCCCAATTGATACCTTAAATTTCCTTTGTCTTTGCTAATTTCAAGTTCTCAATCACACAAAGAAAGACATACCGGGAATCCGACCAGAAAGACAATGATGTCTAGACATTAGACAATTGCTATTGTAGATTAGTGGCGCTTTGAACTCATTATTTGTAACCAACGGAGTAAGAAGTGAAAGAGACGATAATGCCATTTTTGTTTAGTATCTGCCGAATTGATCGTAGTTCTTCAGGAGGCACTCCATTCACTTGATTCGCGAGTCCGTTCAGTGGTGGTCAAGGTGCACCAAGGGCACACGGTGTCTGGAGCTCACACCAGACATATAGATCGTGGTGAATCATGCTGACCACAAGTTCGATGGCCTTACGAGACAATTCTTGATGTGCCGTCACAAAAACCAGTGTTTGCAACAAAAGTGTCAAGTCATTGATATATTGCATGAAGCACTGGAGTGCCGCACGACTGAGGAGATGAGTGGCAGACATACGATTATCGATGTACAACACTTGTAGCACTTCTACACCATCAACGATGTCAGTGTGAAGCACATGCAGACACGGCTGCATCGAACAGCTCTTCAATGGCACGCTTGATGCGAGCGCCTTCCATCATTCTGAAAGACAAATGCTCTAATGCTGCATAAATCACAACATAAGAATGAAGCAAACAAGGCTCACTCACGAGTTCTTCGGTGGTTTGGATCAAACGGGCCAGCGTCTCCTCACGACTTCCTTTGCTGCGCTCCAAATTATATTGGGAACGCAGATGACATTCACAACAGCGACACCCACTGGAGACCATGACATGCGGGATATCAGACCTTGTAGGGGTGCGATGCAGACATCCTCTAGCGTATCTTTTCTCCATGAGTTCCTGGCAGGGGGTCCAGGAATGTGTCGTGTTGATCTGTAGGGAGCGGTATTAGCAATGCATTGACTTACTGTTTCCCAATTCTAGTCCACGCCGGTCTCTAGTCCGACATATGGTGCAAAATAATCAATGCACTAATTTTTGTGATCGGAACGTTCGACGTCGAGAAGTTGAAAGAAGCTCAACTCATCTGGGATTCTGTGCATATTGACACGTTGAGGAATGGTACTCAAATGGTCCGATGTGTCGGAAATTTAAACTAATTAACATGAGCCAAACAAACGCTTGGCACAGCTGATTGTTCTCTGGATACTTCCGAGCTTCTAGAAGTGGGGATCTCCGAATCTGCCAGCAGGCTATTACTTTGAACTTGCATGAGATGGGCTAGATCTGAGTCAGTACTTGTAATTCTAATAATTTCGATCAAAAGGGGTGTATATCAACCCGCAGATTTCACACACTGCGTGTGCCAATACTCATCAACCTGCGTGTCAATCTGTTTATGCGGATTACAACAAGGCTGTCTCCCAATCCGCACACGCGGATGCCAATCCTTATCAATTCGCAGGTTAAAAATTCTGTACACTAAATTTACACGTTGTCCGTACCCCATGCATCCTTACAAAATTGCCACATAAGTCGTTCTTCCATCCCACCGGCAGATATGGAAGTCAACGACTCTTCAATCTGTGTCTGACCTTTCATGAAGGAAAGGTGCACAAGATTGCGAAAGATAATGACTAATATAATGATACCTAGCATCGTGCAAACCAAATGAAGGTTTGCGTAGCATGTACTGAGTGGCATCGAGTCAAAGATGTGTCCCAATCTGATTGATCATCAGTGGACAATCCTACGGAAAAAATCATGATACTTACAGATCCATGCATGCTTTGAATAAGATGATGTTGCATTCACGTCCACGGACCAAGGTTCACAAATCCTCCATTTCTTGCACCTTGATCAAAGTATGTTATATTTGTCTCTCATGCTCTCCGCTTCATCGCGTATTTTAGGCCGTCGCGCTCTTTAATGCAGATCCACATGACGAAGCAATCCTGCTCCTCAAGGAACTCGCTACCGGTTGTCCGAATGCCGACACTCGCGCATGTCACATCGTGCAAGTAAGTATCTGTCACGCTTGGCCATCGACACTCATCTTTGCAACTCACACATAAGGCATATGTGCGTGTTCAGCTCGGATCAAGGCTTTGGATGGCACACGTTACGAAGAAGCCGCTGACCACTTTAACGCTGCTCTCAACTCCAGCACTCTCTCATGGAGTTCACTCATTCATGTTATGTGAGGATTTGGTAGTGGTGCGTGAATACGCATTCAGAATTCTTTTCGTGACCAAGTCCTTTTGCTCAGCTCTTCGGCTGGATCTCAAATCGGTGTGGTTGACTCCAGATGCACTCCTTCGGGCAGGTAAACCTCAAGATGCCATGAAATCATATCGATATGTGATGGATAACATCAACGAAACGAAACAAGGAAGGCCAACCGCCTTGAATGGTCCAACAGCAAGTCTGGAGTTCGTAAATTCGCGCAGGCTACAATCGTCACCCACATTTCACTCGGCTTCCATGGCAGAATGCAGTATACTCTGTCTTGTTAACGGAGATGCCGCCCTCATGGCGAGCGAATTGTTTTTGCAAATCGCAGTAGGGCAAAGTCGGCAAAAAATGCTATGGACAGAAGCACTTCTCGACGAGCAAAAGGTGCGATGGCATCTATGTTTCCGTAGCTGGTGTTGACTTCGGTGATGCATACATAGGTCATCGAACTCAATCCTCCGTCTCACGTTGGATACGAGTTGACGCATACAGCGCTGCGTGGCGCGCAATGTTATGACGAAGCCATTGATGCCTTCAAAATCACTCGTTGTCCAAGTTGGACGATTCTCCCGAAGCTCAGATACGAGGTAAGCCATGGGAAACTTTTGTATGATCTCGAAATGCCTATCACGTTCTGTAGATCTGCGTCAGCAGTGTCTCTCCATCGGAAGCAGAAGACGCCATTCAAAGAGTCGTTCGGATTGAACTCGAGTATGCCCCGTTACGTCTACTGATTACCCCTACGGGTCTTTTGTGTGACAGAGTGGCACAAATCAAAGTGGGTCGATTGGCATATGTATATCATGAGGTGATTAAATGGAATGCAAACGTTTTCAGACTGTCAGTGACCATAGTCTAGTTAGCAGTTGTGTTAATGATAGTATGGTACCAGTAACTTCGGAGTAAGGTGAACATATCACGACGATGATCAAGTACAGTTACGATTCGTCACGAATATCTTTTCCGTGAACCCGCACTCTGTATAAGCAAGTCTCAGGTGCACCCCAATTCCCCCGTACCTCGACAACAACCAATCCAAAATCAAAGCCCGACCGAAGGATGTTCTGGTAGACAGGAAACGTCTGAACTGGGGACTCCTGATCAAAGGGGCTAAATTCCACCTGTACAAGCTTGATGAAAGAGCCATGGGGATTCTGCCTTCGGCCTGCTTCAATGACCTCATGGGGAGGTTCATCGTCCACACCTGTACTAACAGGTCTGTAATGCTGAAGGTTCTCAGCATGTTCAAGGAAGCCCCACACAACAACATCCCGGGGTGCATCCAGCGTAGAACTGAGATGTTCAATTGAAACGTGAGTAATGATCATAGGGGTCTTAAACCCAATTCCTAGATGACCCCTCGATTGGGGTAGTCTCCAACAGCTTCCTGGAGGATCCGCAGTCAGTGCTAGATTGGGGGAATTGCTTATGTGCCGGTCTGCTGCCTGACGCCATGTATGCCAAGATGATGGTGTGATGTCAAACTGGGAAGTAAGAAGCGGTATATAGAATGCTCCAGAGCTGACCAGTGCGAAGTCCTGCATTGGAACCAAATCGAGAGATGGCACACCAACAATTGCGCCAACTTCGAGCCTTTTTTGATAGTGTGCAGCCGTTTGAAGATGTTCCAGTCGAGCGAGAATCACGTCATGGTCCGCATCACTACTCTTAACCCCAAAAAGACTGCCATTCCAGTTGAACGATACAACAAGTAGACCCAGTGTTATGGCCTTGAGAAGCTGAGAGATACAAAATTCCACAATATATCGCATGGCTGAAGTCACTGGAAAAGATGGCAACCTACACAGGGTGATGACTTAGATTATACATTGGACATTAAGGAGACTCACTCACCCGGCTTGCTCAGTTGTCAGGCCAGATGCTGCATTATTGTCTAATTGTTGTATCTCTTCAGGGCCTGTCGATTGATGCGGTCATGACTTGTTCCCGTGCAGGTAATTGGCTCACTTACTACTGGCGTCGAACCAGGGACTCCCTTCTTCCACAAATGACTGTTCTTCAAGACGACTCTTGGCTTCTAGAGGCTTGACATTGCGCCCAAACTTCGGGTGCATAGCGATAGTTATGGAGCAACCTGTCCAATGTTCATAGAATTTATACCTATGGTTTTTGAAAGAGACAAAGAACATTGCCTGCGATTATTGCATCTTGAACTACAAAGGTAGTCAGCCGATAACGTTGACTCCGGCCAGACCAACAAAAAGGTTACTCGTGCCTCAATTTATTTGTCTAGTGTCTTTACAATAGTAATAAGTTACGCCAATGTAAGCCTAACTCTTCACGAGCCTTTGCAAGTACAAAGACTTTGTCCAGAACGGTGGCTACGCCTTTATTTGCCCATGTTTGGTAGATGATTCAGTAGCATAGTAAGTATAGTCGATCTTGACTCTCGAGTCACTCTTTCTCGACATGTCCGGATAATCCAACGTCGCAGACTCTATCCACTATCAACATCTCACTAAGACCACGGTGATGCTCTCCAAATATTGTGCGCTGAGATCAAGTCGGTCGGAACCTCGCTTCATGTGACTAGGAAGAACACCGAGGCCGTGTCTTTCGTCGTGAGCATTCCTTCCAGAGTTTCCACCGTTTTCACTGATGATATAATGCCCAACTCACCTCTGTTAACTCGGATGACTCTTAAGAAGCCTCTCGTGGGCCCCCTGCTGCGTCCTTACAGCTTGCTAGCAAACTGCAATCCCGGG